TGCATGTAGTGCACCTCCCTCAGAATGGAGAAAAGGGCGGCGCTGAAGTTTAGGATCAGCGAGTTGCTGCGATTATCGCGGGCTATGAGCGACTTCTTCAAGTTTTCCTCGATCTGACCGGCCAGCTGCTCGGCCCAATCGTCAAAGAACTGAGTCTTGCAGGCTCCTAGCTTGACCATCAGGCACTCGTAGCGCTCAACGATCTCCAGAGATTTCTCCGTCTTGGTAATTCTGCAATACAGTAATTATTTAGAAGCAAAATTAAAACAAGTTTTTTTAGGGACGACTTACTCATGCTGTAGTGCCTTGAAGTGCTTGACTGGAGCAGTGATCCGCACCTCCAGCTGGTGGCACCAGCGAATGAAGGCGGCAACCGGCGGACAATTGTAGTTTGGATACAGATTATCCCCCACCTTCTTTAGCTCCATCTGCTTGTCGTAGATGGTTTCGCAGACGGTCATCTCATCGTCCAGCATGCGCACGATTTCGGCATAGCGCTGGGTAAACTCCTCCTTGATCTTGGGCCGATCGAGTACGCTACCCACAATGCTTATAAGCTGTAAAACGGACTTACGATTTAGGATTTGAGTTTCTCGATTTCAGGTCTTTACCTTGAAAATACTCTCCAAGTTGTGGCAATCGTCAAAGGCCTGACACAGAATGGCCGCCAGCTTCATGTCCAGCTCGAGGATGCGGGTCTGGAAGCCCTTGAAGTCCTCATCGAACTCGTGATCATCGGGGTCCAGCACATCGTAGCTCTTCGAGGCGAAGGCCGTGAAGTACTGGTTGAACTCAACGTAGACATCCGTGATGCGGGTGCTGAGCTGGCGTCCTCGCAGCCCACCGATTTCGACTTTCTCTAATTTCAGGAATTCAATCACAGTAAAGAAGAACCTTGGGGAAAGCAATTAAGGATGTGTACCATATTTTAACTTATTTCGACTGATATTCTTACCACTGGATGGTTGTGAGACGCTCGAGGAAGGCATTAAAGCGCTTGAAAACTGAATTTGGATGAAAAGTCCATAAAATCGGAGGCCGCTCCTCGGGTTCAGTGAAGAATGTGGCTAGTCGTTCCTTGTAGTAGTCGAAAAGTTCCCGGAAGAACTTAAGTATCTGAATGGACAGTGTGAGGCGCTGCATAGCCTCGTCGATATCGCTGTGGAATATGGACGACGGATCCAGATACCGCTTGGCCTGAAAGCGATCACGTATATCACATTCTAAAGCAGGATTGTCTCCAATTGAAATCCTTACCTGGTGTATAATCAAATTGCATATTTCCTGCAGCAGCACGGTTATCTTCGCCGACTGACAATAGTATCGCGAATTCCCCCACAGAATGCCAACGGTATTCATGAATGGAATGAGCAGGGGCTTGCATTCGGCAAAGTCAATCTCCTCCAAGTGCTGGAGTGGCCGCTTCAGGGGGTTCAGATAGAGTGTTATGTCCTTTGCCTCCGCCAGAGCTACGGAAATGGTTATTGGAAATTGGCATGCAAAAGTACTATTCCGCGGCACGGCAAACTCACCCGTAACGACGTTCTTGAAGAGGGTCTGAAAGCACGGGTGATAGGCACTCATCGAGTACTCCAGGATGAGGGCCATGGCCCGAATGCGCTCGTTGCGCAATTGGTCGTAGATAAAGGATAGATTCTTGAGGCGATTGTTCCAAAATGTGAACTCTGTTGATTTTGAAATTGAAATAATATAATTAATAAAGGGTATTGATGCATACAGGAATAATCTCTTGGAACTGGAAAGAGGGGAATTTGGGGTATGATAAGGGTAAGAAATCCTCATTAAAAATTAGAGAAAAAAAGGGAGGCACCATCAATTTATAACATTTTCTAATACATTTTAGATTGGAATGTTGATACTAAAAGGTTGTAGGTCTAACCTTTATAGTCTCTGATATCTACGTCCTCATTTTTAACTCGTAAAAACAGAAGGGTATGAAAAAATAAAACACTCCAAATTCAAACTCCGAAGAGCTGAAAATGTAAGACAAATTGTCATAGCTCCACACCCCAAAAATATAATTTGCTTTGCAGGCCAAAAATTATTAAAAAGCGCAGTACTCTTAATCGATTTAGTCTCAATATTTTACCCCCATTTATTCTCTTTCATTTAAGGACAAATCAACCAAAATCATAATGTTTTTAGGCTAAACAGAGCTTTGGCTTTCACTATTTCGTCAACCCATAATTGAATGTCAAATGCGAACGCATAATAAAAGCCATGTAACTACTTTGGCTTCGGGGTAATAACAAAACAAGTATTGCCTGCACGCGGAATGTCATTCGTGAACAGATAATAAAGAAAGGCAAAACTTTCGAAAGACACAACAGTAGGCAGGATGGGTATGAACATGCAAATTGCGGGGTTGCTAGGATATGGGGGGACTTGAATTTTATCAATAAATAATAAATGGAGGAGCCAAAAATAAAACCGGCACACATGGCACCGTCGCGACGTCTCACCCGTGTGCGGAGTGGGATTCTGGCCGTTGGCGAAGGCGTTCGATGGACTCTCCTTGATGACCTCGTGGATCTGTGTGGCCCATTTGATGACCACGCCCTCGATGGCGCTCTTCAGGTACAGGTCGAACTGGCAGTGCTCCGTCTCGACCAGTTCCTTGGCCGCCTTCACGATCTTCTCGACGCCCACGGGCATGGCCAGGATGGTTTCACCGCTCACCTGGCCCTTCACCTGGTGGACGGTACTCTTGAGGCTGTGTACGTGCTTCTGCACATCCTGCGCCACCATGATGGGCCAGCTGCGATAGTTGTCTTCGTTGGACAGTAGCGGCACCAGCACCTCCTCCACCAAGGCGGACAGCTGGTCAATAGTGCGCGTGGCTAGGTCCCCGTAGATGATGAAATTGCCGCAATCCTCGCGTGGAATGGGCAGGGCATAGCGCTTGATGAAGTACACGCCCTTGCTCTTCAGCTGCGACAGCGGGAAGGTGGTGGAGGGAACCAGCTGGGCGGCGGGGGTGAGGATTATGATGAGGACCACGGGGGTATTCCTGTCCAGAAACTCCTTGATGATGCCCTTGTGCTCCTCCACCGTGATAACTCGCGTCCACTTCTCCGGCTTCAGCTTCAGCGACTTGATGACGAAGGAGCCCATCAGCTCCAGCCGCGGATCCGGGCCACCAGCGGCCGCAGCAGCGGCTGCTTCGGCGCTAGTGGATGGCTCCATCGCGGCCCACTCTCTGGTGGGTGGGTTGGGTGGTTGGTTTCCTGCAGTGGTTGCCTTGCTGCTGTTGCTGTCTGTTGTTTGCTGTGGGTATGAGGTGCACATGCATATCTGAGTGTTAGCCTGACCTTGTTACCAGTAACAACTAAGCATATAAAATCGATGAAAATTGCAAATCAATAGGGTTTCTTTTTTAAATTTCGGGATAGATATCCGTTTAATTCATTAAAAAATTCATTTTTAATAATATTATTCCCTTTTTTAATACTTTTTTGGTGTTATCTAACTGATTGCACAATTTTCACTGGTTATGTAACACGCTCAAGTCAAAACTTTCAATGTTTCTGGCTAAAAGACAGCGGGAATATGCATAAACTTTTTAATTTCACTAAACTCCTTATGCGGTATATCAAAGGAACGATTTCTTTAATTAATTTCTAAGCTTCTTCTATAGTATATATTTTAATTGTATTTTTCCTTATAGTTCTTCACAGCTTTTCCTTTTTCCGTTTGCGACCGCTTACCTCCGCTGCTGGGCGGCGACTAAAAGGCTTGTTATTTCCGTCAGCAACACCAGCTCCACCTGACACGCACCTCCAGGCGCCTAAGTGATCGTGGCAGGACCCGTTGCTAGGGAGTTGTTGATTTTGGCCACCAAATCCTCGCGAGACAGTGGCCACTGTTTGTTATTTCCCCTGCGCCATAATGCCCGTTGCCAAGACGGTTGCTAAGCCGGCGACCAATTGTTGCGCATAATTCGCGTTGAAATGGCAAATTGCACGCCATTTGCAAATTAACTCCTTCGATTGGCACGCTTCGGTTTGATAGATTTAGTGCTAATTGATTTCCAAGTGGAAACTATTCAATAAAGAAAATATTAATATTAATGATATCAATTCCTAGATAAAACACCCTCAGGCATAACCTAGGCTTTTCCTAATATCAACAAACTTGATAGAATTAGAACGCGGAATCCCTTTCCAGTAACAAAATTTTAGCTTTGGATAATAAATAGTATTAATAATTCATTAGCTTATGAAATTATAATTTTTAATCTGGTAATGCTGCATTTTACAATGCATTTAATTTGTTAAATATATAAATTAATGCATTATTTATCTGAATAAATATGAATAATCAAAAGATTTGTCTGAAATACATACTCATTTAAAGGAATTAGATCATAAATCTCCATTACCACATAGGTTTCTTTCAGTTCAAGCTACTTAAGCTCCAATAAACCAAACTTAAATGGCACAAACATCAAGAGAACTACTTTAACTTCTAATCATGCAACACGAAAAGCAGGTGGGGGCACTAAAAAGACTGTCAAACACCTGCCCGCAAATGCTCAAGTTCGATAAAACCAAAGTAATCCCAAGCACGCCAGAATCTGTTGCACTCCGCTGGCAACAGTTGGTCAGGGGAGTTCCCTCAGGTAACCGAATGCAAATGAATCATTCGCACTTGCCATAATTGTTGCCCCTATTTTATGGCTGCGTCCCGCGCAGGCGCCATCAACACGTGGCTGTAAACAAATTCAAATAACTTGTTGCACAGTTACAACCTTGGCTGGAATGCAACAGTTTATCGCATGACTTCCGGCTGTAAAAGTTTTAGCGTTTCCATCAGCGATTGGACAAGGCCTAGGTCGCGGCGTGAGCTCTGGGCGACGGTTCAGCGAACTCCGCAGCCAAACCGCACTTATGCTGGCAGCCAGCCAAGCCTAAAAATCAATAAAGATATAAACCCAAGCCACTGCCGGTGGCTGCAACCAGTTGAGCCGAGCTGCAACCATGTGGCAGTTGGCACTGGCACTTGGCCTAATCCAGCAGCTCAGCCTGGCCATCGTTGTGGAGCGCAACATGTTCGCCTACTACAAGGTGCCGGCTGCCCAGCTGCTCTACGCCCAGGAGTCCCACTCCGACTCCGACTCCAGCTTCGACATCGATGCAGACTTCACCTCCAGGGAGCTTATCAACCACGAAGCCAGAGATCTCTACTATGTGCTACAGTGCCCGCCAAAGCTGGAAGATGCGATCCCAAAGCCGCGGGACATGCAAACCTGCAGCGTGGTGGACGAGTATCGAGGCATGTTTCATAAAAAGCCGCCGAAGCCCAAAAAGCGCCTGCACATGGTTCCGTTTCGGATCGTGCTGCGTCCCCTGGGACCACCGGCCATGAGGCGCAACCTGAAACGTCGCAAACGTCAGCATAAGGGCGTTCCGAAAGCTCCCAGCGACAGGATGGTAACTGCTGAGCAGGAGGACGAGGTGGAGGCCTCTAGTCCGCTGCAGCATCTGGGACGCCCCCATGCCCGCCAAAAGCTACTGAAGCTGGCAGCCGACCATAGCCAGTTTAAGCGCGGAAACAGCTCCAAGGGCTACCAGCATATGTACCATCGGGACGAGACCTACAACGACCACATTTTCTACGACGAGCTCCATGCCGACGGAGAGTTCCACAACTATGGAAAAGAGAAATCCAAATAATCCAAAATGGACTTGGACTGGTTTGGTACTCAACAGTGAGATTCCTGACACAAAAGTTAATAATTAATTAAAGTTCTTGAAAGAGAGAATGCGTTTGTCTTTAAATTATTTAAAAATAATGAATAGTTTGTTTGATTATCAGCGGGTTTTGGCTCTAATCCTTTTGTATCCAAATCAAAAGTCATCCGTACCTAAAGATATAAACCCAAGCCACTGCCGGTGGCTGCAACCAGTTGAGCCGAGCTGTTCCTTAAATTTTATTGTAAATTATTTGTTCTGGCTGCAAGTATAGCTCATTTCAAGCTAGTCTGCAGTTCGTTGATCGGGCTGTTTTCAGGTATTTTGAGCAAATTTCAACAAATGTCACGGTCGACAGAGGCCGGTAATAAGTCAAAAAATGTGCAGCGGACTTGCTCAGGGTCGCACCTCCAGGCTGAATGTGCGCCTTGCTGCTGCTCCTGATCTCGGCTCTAATTTATGCGGGCCGGTGGAGCTGTGAACTCGTGTATGACGATCGGGGTGTCTGTATTTTTTAACCATTTTTATCTTTCCTTTTTTCCATTTAAGTTTGAGTACTGTGAGTGGTGGTACAGCGCCTGCAGCTGCCCAGTTGGCACGCGTTGCTGGCCTCCCCTGAATCCCCAGGAGACCTTCGGCTGCTTCATGGTCGGCGGAGTGACTACCTCCACCTTCTCGCAGGCGGATGTCAATGCCAGATTTTAAATAAATTTAAATGGTTTTCGCAGATATAGCGAGCTGATCTTGGGCACGTACTGCAGGAAAGTAATAAAAAATAATTAAAATTTTAAAAATGTTTGTCTTTTTTATGTTTATATCAACCTTGAGCTTCATATCGCCATGCTTAAAGTGGTAAGCTCTCACTCGGAACTCTAATCCGAGTTCGTACTGGCGCAGGTGAGCCTTCTGCACCGGCTCTTTGTTGAGAGTTTCTCGAGTCATCTAAATTTTGGTATTGCAATCAATGTTGAACTGAATTTTCTCCAAGAATACTTACTGCTGGTAAATGTTAGGATTCCACAATCGTTCTCGGAGTCGTCGTATAACCGCGATTCGCACTATAATCAATAGCTTTTCTTCAGAATTAATGGATGGCTTAGGACCTGCTTGAGGGTGATGCGCTCATGTGGTAGTTTCTTCAGCAACTTTTTTTATCGTCTTGCGCCTCAAAGGACAAAGAGGCGAAGTTGTTCCTTGGAATCCTTAACACGAACAGAAACTCAAAGCAATTAGTAAATAGAAAATGATGCGAGGAAAATACTACTGGCATGCATAATAAGCGGATTAAGATTAAAGTTGTTAGTGAAGCAAAAGTAATGGTATTAAGGTATACAAGAATGTAATTTTACCATGCTGCTAGGATTGGATGAGAGGGTAAGTTAATTAACAGGAGTATTATGGTATAAGTATAAGCAAAAGTATAGGTAAAAGTATAAGTATATACATTATACATTATCAATAAATCTCAATAAATTATGCAAAATTGATTCTTCTATTAATAAAATCCCAATAAATTATGCAAAATTGATTCTTCTATTAATAAAATCCCAATAAAGTTTTCAAAATTGATATCATTATCAATAAATCTCAATAAAGTACCAAAAATTGATATCATTATCAATAAATCTCAATAAAGTTTTCAAAATTGATATCATTATCAATAAATCTCAATAAAGTACTAAAAATTGATGTCATTATCAATAAATCTCAATAAATTATGCAAAATTGATATCATTATCAATAAATCTCAATAAAGTACTAAAAATTGATGTCATTATCAATAAATCTCAATAAATTATGCAAAATTGATATCATTATCAATAAATCTCAATAAAGTACTAAAAATTGATATCATTATCAATAAATCTCAATAAATTATGCAAAATTGATATCATTATCAATAAATCTCAATAAAGTACTAAAAATTGATATCATTATCAATAAATCTCAATAAATTATGCAAAATTGATATCATTATCAATAAATCTCAATAAAGTACTAAAAATTGATGTCATTATCAATAAATCTCAATAAATTATGCAAAATTGATATCATTATCAATAAATCTCAATAGATTGACCGTACTATAAAAAGCTTAGAAGTTAGAAGCAGAAGTTTCTATAATGATTCTTAAGTCGAAAATCTATTTATACATAATGGAAATCAAAATGAAATCTATAATATTTTAATATTCTCCAATAAAAACCACAATATTATTTACGTTATTTACTTATCCCCCCAAAAAATAAAATAGCTACCTGACTCGTCATCAGATGATTCACTCTCGGAGCTTTCGTTGCGCTTAGTCGGTGTCGGGGCCTCCAGCGAGAGGCGAGGTGCCACAGGTCGCTCCTTCCTTGCCTGGTTCAGTGCACTGCAAAAGGCACACCGGAATGAAGCGTACTCGTACTCCTCCTTGGGCAGCATTCCTATAAAAAATATAAAAAAAAATAACAATTAGATATCATATACACAATTAACATAATTCTAAACCTGTAACAAATAGAATTTATTTTTGTATATAAGTATAAAATCTGTCATTAACCCTGAATGTCGTTGATTTCAAGAATTGCAAATAATTCTTTCCAATTGGCATTGTCTGCATGGTAAACATCTGCTCGGCCAGCATTCGACAGCCAAAAAAAAACAAAACAAAAGCGAAAGTCTAATCGGTTCTCATGCTTCCTCTCGAACTCATCTCAATAAATTCTTTTATACCGATCATAACGCACCATTGTGGGCAAAACACTCCTTGCAAATCGTTTCTGTCGCGCACGATAAAGTCCACGATGCCATCCATGGCGCTGCGCTAGCTCTTGCACGGCGCGCATTGGCGGCGTTGCTGACGTCACCGCCTGTGAATGCGAGCTGATGACGCTGCGGTTCAGGCTGGTGCTACTAATGTTATTGTTGTTCCGATAGACGGAATGGAAATTAAATATTCATTATCATCACTAAAGATTGTCTTACCTTATAGGTCTCCTTGTAAATGACCTGCTCCAATAGGACGCGCTTCTTCTCCTTAAGCTTTGCCAGCTTATCGCCATTTTTGTTCAGCTTGCGCTGAAAGTTCCACGTAAACAGGCGTCGCAGCAAGATGATACTGCAATATCCGGGCGATAAATTCGTGCATAAATATATTGACTCTTGCAGAGGTGAGGTGGCTTCAAGTACTCACAATATGGAAACAGGAGCAGCGGCACCAGAGAGGAGTCATCGCTGCTGAGCATGCGCAGCCCGCTGCAGCTTCTGATGAAGCTCCTCTCAAGGATTAATTTCAGTTTATTTTTGGCACTTTAAAACTTATGCACGGCCGCCATTGGGCTTTTCGGCGGAAATAGAGTTGTAATCAGTGTTGCCAGATGAAAATTGGGCTCTCCCCCTAAAAAATCCCAAGAAGTTGAAATTTCCCCCTAAAAAATCCAGTTTTCACCCCAAATTTAAAAAATCAGTTAATTTCATAAATATAAGGAAGAAACATATATATGCATCGATAACATTTTCTGAAAACTCGGCATGGAAACCTTTTTGTTTACAAAAAGTTTCAAAAGTTGTTGAAATTGTTGGGTAGATCATAAATTCTACAATGTTTTTTCAAAACATAGTATTAATACAAGTTTAAAAAAGCCCCTAAACTTTCACCCTAAAAATTCTTCCCCCCTAAAATTCCCCCTAGTACATCAAAAAACTCCTAAATCTAGATGGAAAACCCCTAGCCTTGGAACTCTGATTGTAATATCGAGGTATCAATTTAACGATAGTTTTTTATCACGGGGCTATTTTTATATCACTGCCAAAAGAGAGAGTCTGTCTTCGCAAAGATTTGCTTGGATAGAATATTGTTGTTAATTACTTAGTCAAAACATACAGCAAAATTTTTTTGTTTTCGTTTTTGAAAACGAGAAATGGTGCTCCGGTAGTCCAAAACGAAAGATTTTTTCGATTTGAAAAACGGGCAGCTTTTTCTGGCCGGAATGAAAAGTAAATGGCTATTTTATATGAAATCATATCTTATTTACAAAAGGAAAAAAACTGTTTACTCAGTGGTCTATTGATGTTTATTCCACACCACCACAAGATCATTCTGGCAGGTAGTTATTTTATAAAAAATTTGACACCAAAATTTTTGCCGTGTTCACAAAGTTTTCTCGTTTTGGCGATAGGTCGATTAGTCCATCGCAAAAAGTTATTGCCAAGGATGCCATATTGTTGGTGGAACAAAACAGCCAGTTAAAAATACTTAAAAAATATAAATTAATACATTAATAACTTTAAAGGAGCGCAAAAATTGTTGTTTATATTTAATGCTATTTAATGTAATTACTTAAATGGTCCAAATTAACAAAATAATTATTTGAGACCACCGGAAATAAAACTGTGAAAAGTGTGGCAGCATCTTAGATGCCTAGATTTGCGTAATTCTACCATTTTTTGCCTTTTTCTGGCTTAGAAAAAGGGCAATTGTAAATATAATAGGCAGTACTTTACGTTGTTTGCTTATTACCAAAAACACAAGTTAGCTGCTTGAGCAGTGAGAAACGATGATAAAACGAAACATTCCGATAGCAGAAATTTGCCGAAAACCGAAGCAGCTAAAAACAAAAACGGTTCGTTTTCGCCCAAAACTAATTCGAAAAAATTTTTCGATTACCGGAGCAGGCCTGTATAACCAATTTCTTCTTCTCCTTGGCCGCTATCGTTGAGCGCACTGTGTGCTCCACTTGAGGGATGGGATCCATGCCCTGATCCTATTTAAAAAATGATCATATTTACAAAATAATTCTTGTGTCTGTTTATTGGATTCGATGTTTTTATTCCGTAATCCAGAAGATCGCCTTGGAAAACCTTCTGGCTCAGGATTTGTTCAGCGATTGAAACGAACTCGGTACTTCCTCAACACATCCAAGATCCTGGCACAGCTGTCATCAAAGGAACCAATCTGAAAAGTATTGCAATTTATAGAGTTTCTTATGGTAGGATGATCACCCATCAAAACCCGAAATTAAAAAAAATTTAGTTGGAAATAGATATTAAAAATGTATCTGAAACGTATCGTAAAAAGACCGCAAGCGGTCCTTTTTTGGGTATCGTCGAGGAGCTGCAGACGGTACTTTTTCCGGTATCGCCACAGGTCCACTAACGGTACTCTTTCGGGTATTGTAAAGGGGCTGCTATCGGTACTTTTTCCGGTCTCGCAACAGCGTCCGCAAGCGCTATTATTTCGTGCTCCGAAAATGAGAGGTTTTGCTGCCACAAACCCCAGGACATGTAATTTACTTTGTTATCGTTCTTGAGTCTAAAATCGGACGTTTTGTCCGCCTGTGGTCCACAAAACTTCAGATTTTAATATTTTTTACGAAGTTTTTGTCTGCTGGGCAAATACGGGTTTAATGAAGAAATTTGTAATTGAAAAATGTATTAGCCAGCTCATTGACAGTATGGTCGCACAATGAGAATTTTATTTTTATATCATTTCGCTGGTTTTTGAACTAAAAAAATTTTAGAGCATTAGGAAAATAATATGTTTTGTGGTGGCAAGGTTCTTGCGCTGTAAAATTAATTAAAATTTTTTTTTTGGTAATAATTATAAAAATTTTAAGCATTATAGGTTAAAAACATAAATTTAAAGGATTCCGCATTTATTTATGCATTAATACTTCGACGAGGAATTCATAAATTCATAATAATACGCCGCGAATGGCGGCCGTTTTTTTTACGACGATTATTTGGCATGTTTGCAAAAGTTTGGGACTTTCCGAGTATGACCATGACGTTTGTAGCTCGCTGCATCTTCTGTCGTTTGTAGATGTCGACGCATTTTCGCGAAAGTATCGTATGTCGAAAAATTCTATTTTACAGGAGAAGCTTTTTTGTGCTTTAATCTCTTAGGAAGCACTATAGAAAAGACAAAATTAAAACTTAATTTTTATCGGAACTATAGGGTTTTCAGTTATAATATTTCACAGGGTAGTGAGACATTAGGTTCCTAACAATTTTGCATTAAAATCTCAATTTCGAAAAAAAGCGACATACGATACTTTCGCGAAAATGCGTCGATGTGCTCGCACTCTGCACTCGGCGGTAAAAGTGAAAAGACGTGGTTTCTCTAAGATAAATACGTGCTTGGTTAAAAAAAAAAAACGTGGTTAGTTTAAAAAAAAAGGAAGAATGGAAGCTGAACAAAAGGAATCTGCAGAGATACTTTCTCAACGTACCGTAAGTATATGGTATATGTACATATGTACATATGTATGTATAATTCCCCCTGTGGGGTGTGCACTGTGGGGCGAACAACCACTTTTTGTGGCATTAATTAAGAACTTTAAGGCGCCTTAATATTTTTAAGTTCTTTTTTTTTTTTTGAATCAAGTTCAATATAAAAAATGAAAAATTTTTACAGAAAATTCTTCTTTTAAGGATTACAAATTTTTGTTTAGGGATAATTTTTTATTTCTTTTTGCTGGGTTTAGACCATTCCATTTGAATAATTTTAAGTTGAATAATTTTAGTTGCTTCACTCGACTAGTCCTAATCTCTATTTAATCAAAAACCTTCATAAGATATCCGCAGTTAGGGTACCCTATAAGCCCGATCGTATGTCCAGATCGGGCAGAAACATGTCGTCATAGGCGACATTCTGGAACACCCTGTTAAGCAAGGTGGTAAAGGCTGTTGTGAACGATTTAATCAGGCCTGGTTGTAACTCATTCCAGAACTCCAGCCAATTCTCGTTAAATATCTGGTTCACAGCTATAGTCACGTCCATGTTTTCCTTGTACAGGTCTTCGAGCCAGATAATCCAGCTGGTAATGGAAGAATTTACTAAAGAAGTGTATACTCTTTCCCCTTCCGCAGTTTACTCACCGATCTAAATCGATTTTTGGCACCAGACTGTAGACCTTCAGGTAGCGCTTGTTATTCCGGTACTCCTCAATCACTTTAATGGTCAGGGTGAGGCTGAAGTTCTGGAAATCAGACTGCAACCTGCCGGTGGTGTTGATTGCGAACAGCAGAAACCTGCCCACCTGATCGTAGGTGGCTTCATGCAGGAGTCGCGGTAAATGGGCCTTCAGAACGATCTGCTTCTGATTGGGCTGCCGCAGGAAGCCCTCCACGTGGGTAACAGTGGCGTTGTTAAAGCCCCGGTGCACATTGTCCCGCATCCGGAAGTTCAACCAGATGGGTCCCCGTTGCGGCGAGTCCAGAATACTGGTGTCTGGAAAACGGTACGTATCTAGGCGCGGGAGTCCGATCTGCGGAATGCCCTGAGGGTAGCGCTTGATCAGCGCATTAATGGAGCTAAGAATGCATTCGGAATCTCCAAAGCGGCACTTATCCACGTCAGCAGCTGGAAGTTTAGGGTGCGGTAAACGATGGATCTAAGTGGAACTGAAGGCCTACCCTACGCACGTAGGTCTGCTCCGGAGCCTACATCGGGTATGTAGGCATAGAGGCACAGCCAGGTCAGCACATACAACTGCTTCATTTCGCTGATGGGTTTCAACTGACTTCAAAGACACAAGCACTCTAGTCACGATACAATTAATAAGACGCCACCACCACTACCAGGAACCTGCTCTAGCGAAGCTTTCCAACAATAAGCCTTAGGTTAATCGACTAGCATATATGCAAGTTGATGCTAATCAAGCGATGCAACCGGTTTACGGCAATACTAATCTTTGTCCTTATATGTCTCCAATAAAAGTGCAATGCAACCGTCTATTCCGATTTCAATCATTTACTTCAGACTCTTTGTACACCGGCAAGAACATGTCGTCGTAGGAGACCTTGTGAAAGACGTCCTCGAAAATGTCTCGAAAGACGCTGGCGAAAATTTTAAGGTTCGTGGGCTCCAGTTCGTTCCAAAACTCCACCCAGTGCAGATTGAAGACTTGGTTAATGGCTATCGTCAGATCCGTGTTCGATTCGAAGAAGTTGTCCAGCCAGAACACCCACCTGGAAAGCGATCTCTGTCAGCCGGGTAGAGGGGAGGCTATTGCACGTATAACTCACCGATCCATGTTGACGAACGGAGTCATCTCGTAGATCTTCAGATAGCGCTTGTTGTTCCGATACTCCATGATCACCTTCAGTTTGAGGACGAAGCGAAAGTTCTGGAAGTCCGAGAATGACTCGCCCGTCGAGTTAAGCTCTATGATCCAAACTCTTCCCTGAGAGAAGTAGCTTCCCTTGTGGATGAGACTGGGTATGCGGCCATGAATCTCTATCAGGCTGGAGGTGGGATTCTCGTCAAAGCCACTAACCTTCGTGATGGTCGTGTTCTCAAAGCCGTAGTTCACCTGATTGAACAGATCGAAATCCAGCCAGAAGGCGCCAACCTTCTCGTCGTTCCAAAATTTTGAGTTCCTTATGTCCACCACATCTATTGGCTTCAATCCCAACGCAGGTATGCCCCTGGGAAATTTTTTTATCACCGCATTGATGGACTCCACAATGCATTCAGATTCCCCAAAGCGACACTTTTTGATATCCTTGGCTGTGCGTAAGAATCGAAATAAATCTCAGTAAACTGTGGAATCTAAAGAGGAGTGGAGTCCTCGTTACCTACGTAATATCTGACCCTGGAGTGCTACGAAGAACTGCAGGCACAGCAGACTGATGAATATGTCACGCATTCCTATATGGTTAGTCTCTGCAACTAGTATTCCAAGTGCACCTCCAGTACCTCCAGCCGTCTGTTCACATTTAAAAACGCGAGGTGGAAAAACAACTGGGACCTGGCTATGCGATCGGCTGGCTCTAGAACCGGTTCCAAGCTCCACTCGTTCCATTTGCATTCTCAACTTGAAGTGCTCGGAAATCTTCAATGAAAATTGCCAGGTCAATATAAAAAATTATTATTTGCAATTTTATTCACATCCGAATTCCTTTTGTATTCTTTATTATATTTATTTAGAAACTGATATAATACTCTTATTTTGATATAAAAAAATTACTGTCAGGAACTAGACACAGATCGTCGTATGGCATCTTTAATAAATGAGTTGAAACACTTTCAAAAATTTCTAAAATATACGGCTAAAATTCGTTCCTAAGCTTCATCCAGTTTTTGTTTATAACCTAATGAACCTAAAGTTCTAAAAATCCGGAACCAATTCTCCTTTAGAATTTATCTCAAAGATCAGGAATTTGCCATTTACCACATACTTCCCCTTATGCACTAAACAGGAAATCTTTCCGTGAATCTCCACTAAGGATGCGGTTGGGTCCCTGTTAAATCCCCTCAACTGTGTGGTCGTTGTATTTTTAAAGCCGTAATTCACCTGATCGTACATTTGGAACTTGAAATGCACGCCGCTTAACTCTGCGTTGTTCCCTATTTCGTTGTTCTTGATGTCCACAACATCGATGGGCTTCATACCCAGACCTGGCAAGCCACTCGGGAAGCCCTTGATGATTTGATTAATGTTCTGGATTATACACTTTGAATAAAAAGCGAACTTTGGTTTGACTCGAAATTTCTATTGACGGCTCAGCCAGAGCCTCGCTCAGTCGATCAGCTCTAGGATCGTTATGAAAATGGCAAACATTCTGCTTTGGTAGATGTGGAGCTGAGATCAGTAAATTGGCTATTAAATGCATTACAGTTCAGACATTACTCGCATATAGTATCTTTCCCAGTTTTCTAAGGCCAACAAACCAGGCAGGAATGTGCTAATGTCAACAACCAGTTTTCATAATAGTTGTTATATATTCTCCATCACGAGATGGTGAGTTTTCCAACCGATCGATTGTGGTGTATATACTTTAGTAATTTTATTTACATTATTTTATTTCTAACTACAACTAGCGACTATAATTCTTTGCTTAATTCTAGGCTGACTCAATCTGCGATTCTGCTAGGAACAAATCATCGTAGGCCACGTTGTCAAAGAGATCATCGATCATACTGCGGAAGACCGTTTCGAATAGACGCAGGATGCCCGGCTCCAGTTCGTTCCAGAACTCTACCCAGTTTCGGTTAAACAGATTGTTGATCGCTATGGTCAGATCAAAGTTATCCGGAAAAAAGTTGTCTAGCCACATAATCCAGCTTTAAAGAGAAAGAATTATTAGTATTATATATTTCCTTAGTTATTTTTTAAGATCTGTTGGAATTAAGTGCATCTTTTATGTGAATTTATCATGATAACTCACCGGTCCAGCCTGATGTTTGGAACTAACTCGTAGATTTTCAAATAACGCTTGTTGTTCCTGTACTCAAGGCGCACTTTCAGCGTAATGTCGAACTGGAAGTTCAAGAAATCCGACTCGGATGTACCGTGCGAATTGATGTCCACGAACCAGAGCATCCGGCCCTTGGCCAAATAATCGCCCTTGTAGATCAGACGCGGGATTTTGCCATGAATCTCGATCTTGGTGGCGGTGGGATCCCTGTCGAAGCCGCGGATCTCAGTGATCGTGGTGTTCTCGAAGCCATAGTTGATCTGATTCAGCAGCTCGAAGAAGTACCAGGCCCCGCCCACCTGGGAATCGTTGACGAGCAGCCAGTCCCGCACGGGCAACACGTCGAAGGGTTTGATATTGAGCTCAGGAATCCCCTTCGGATACTTTTTCAGTAGGTCATTGGCCGTCGCCGTCAGGCACGGGCCATCGCCGTACTTGCACTTCTTTAGGTCGGCCGCTATAGAAGAGAGCGTTGGTTAAGCGGTGGGATAGAGTAAAGGATATGGCGGTGGGATCACTCACGGAAGCTCTGACAATAAACTCCGGCATACAGCTGCAAGCTGACCAGCAGGTAAGCTATGTAATGCATCTCAAACAGGGATTAATCCTATACTGCGCTCAAGCTCTCAGCAATCCGATGCACTTGCATAGCCGATGGCGACTACTCGGCCAGCAAAACAGCTCCGCAGTTACGGCGTAACATTTATAAGGAAATCCAACACAGGTGCCATTATCATAACGTGTTCTATATGGGGCCTGCATGCTATATATGCTCACTGAGGAAAATGGTTATTTATATCCAGAGACAAAGTACCTTCAAGTGGCAGCCAGAATAATATTGGACTCTGAATTACATTTGTATTACTACTTAATAATTGAACACTTAAATTCTTGTAGGTTTTTCTACATAATAGGACTTCCTTAAAATTGTTTCCAGTGCCGCGTTAAATAATAAACCGATTGACATTAGCATTACGCGATTAATCTAGTCGCTCTACATGAGAGTTGATCCGAAAAGCTTCTGCTCTTGAGAGCTTTGGTGGCAGCATTGTTTATCTCTATTAGCAGTTGGAAGATTTCTCAGAAAACCCAAAGACTAGAATAAAGTCGGATGCTGTTCGGGATCCAAGGTACATTACTGTTTACAACCGACCAGGTGAGCGCTAGTACTACCAGATATTTATTACTTAAAGTGTTTTATTGCCACTAACACTATTTTGAAATTGAATTATTACTTTTATAGTTAGAAGCTTTAACTTGTAAAGCTTTTACTCAAGTAGAGTTTAATTGAGTTGACTTTAGGATTTAGAAATATAAGTAATAAACTCAAAATCTATAAGCATTTTAAGAAAATGTATTTATTGGGAAAACCATATCAAATTGTTCAAAGATATACTCCCCAATTTAAAGACTGGGAATCAGAATCCCAAACTTCAATAAAATAATGAGCAGAGTCCTATTTATTTATTAAAACAATTAAATTCGTATAAATTCAACTATATATTTCACTAATTAGTTTAAACATTCCATTGATTCTATTTGAATTATTTACTATTTAAAGTGAAAAAAAACGATGAACCACAATCATCACCTTTCGATTTACTAGAAAAGAAATAAATGGTTAATGTATGCCTTTATATTTGAGATACTATACATCAATGACTACTCCCTATAGCTCCCTATAGAAATCGTCATACGGCAGCTTGTCAGCCACACGCTTTAGAATCGTTTCGACCAGTCGATCCACCGTCGAGATTATACCCTTTCGGAGGGCGTGCCAAATTTCCAGCCACTTAGTATTGGCCACGATATTCATGGCATCACTCAATTCCGGGTTATTGAAGAGATTCTCAAAGTTCAGATGCATGCTGTCGGGGAGGAGGGAATCCAGATAGTACCTAGTATTAGTTAGTAGAAGGCAAACCTTACCCTTGCAGGTCCAGCAAACACTTGACCTTGGCAATCTCGATATAGCGTTTGCCATCCTTTCGGAGCTGCTCCAGGGCCCTAACCTTGCAGCGAAAGCGGCCCTCCTTGACCACCACCTGAGCCTGGCCCTTTCCCTGAATGGGCATGTTAAGGAGGCTGCCGTGCATCTCGTAGTCTCCCTCGAGTTTCAGCAACGGAACCCATGCACTCAGCTCCAGTACTCGCGGCAGCTCGCCGTCGAATCCCTTTGCCTCCATCACGGTTGCGCCCTCGAGCCCCCTTACTGTTAGGTTGCGGAATTTCAGATCCAAGGTGGCCGGACTATTCGGTTCTATCCGACTAACGACGACATTCTCGAATCTGATGGCGTCCAGGGCTTGCAGGCCGATAGAGGGCAGACCCTTGGGATAAAGTCGCAAGAGGCGGGTCACAGTCTCCGCAATGCAGATGGAGTCGCCAGCTTCGCATTTCTCGATTTCAGGAGCTAAGAATTACTTGGGTATTACACACGAATTACACCAGCAATGCACTTTCACTCACGCAACTGTCCCAAAACGAACGATATCCACAGAAAGCTAATAGCTGTGATTAACCTCATTTCCATTCGATTTCGGTGCCAGGTAATTAATGGATGCGCCTGCGACTTACTGTTCGCTTTTATAGGCCACTAAATGTCCGCTAAGTGCATATGCAAATGCCACTAATAGTCACTTGAGTGAGAATAGATATATTAGATATCGAAGCGGCCAACGGGCCACACCTGAGATCTAACACGCTATTGACAGAGCGCCTCAATGAACGATTTAGGCGATAATTTCACTTTCAGTATCTGACTAATCGGCCAGTTAGCTGGCGGATTAATTACACCCAGTAATTAACCAATGAAGCTGACGTAATGACGTGAAATCCCGCCCCCTGGGCTGGGTTCAACTCCCGCTATATGCTCACCGGTACAAATCAATCAAGCCGATGGTGATTTTCCTAATAGTTTATTACAAATTTAGTTTTAGCGATTTTTGTACACAACAATTTTTAAAATATTTAAATTTATGTAGCTAGCTAGGAGAATGACGAACTCCTCTGGACCATTCGTTTTCTGTAAAAAGTGCGGTTTTAATGAGGGAGCTCTTAAGTAGGACACTACAAAATAAATACGAATTAATTAAAAGGGCTAAATTTAAAAGAACACTTGATACTTGATAGATAACCCATCATTTGCAGGCTTAATAAAGAGACGCCGAATGGTGCAGTTTTTACAGACAGATTTACATACGATTAGACGACAATTGATGTGGTTCGATTCACGCTCAGTTAATTTCACAGCCTTATTTTTAATAGACTTTATAATTATATACTTGCTTTAGTTAAAAGTGCATTCATTATTGCAAATTTCGACTCATCTCATGGACCTCTCTGTCTCTCTGCGCTCTATGTTGTAAGTAGTGTTGTTTCCCGTTTTTGGTATGCATTAAAATTAGAATTTTGATATTGTTTTACACTGATCCCGGGTCCTCCTGGAGGAACCCCTTAAAAGAAAGTATACCCGAAGCAACAACGAACGCCAATCCCGCCTCCCCCGCCGGCCAAGTCGCCAAGCTGGTTGAACTCGACCTGGCCCGGGAAGCCTTGCCACATCGTGTCCGTTGTCGAGTGGTTTGTTTCGACGGCGGCATCCACGGAGCCAATCCGAATGCCACCGCTAGCTGAATACCACGTGCTGCCCCCCATCCGCCTCCACCAGGTTGCTGCTGGGGCAGCCGAGCTCATTGTTGTTGCTGTTGGTGAAACAAACCTCCTCACTGCCATCGGAATCAGTGCAGCACAGTAATGGCTACGCATCCTCGCCTTCCATCACGTCCGCCTCGTGGTCGCCACTGGTGGCAATCCTGCAAGGTAGACGATGTGACATTGTTATAAATGAGCGATGATTGATGGAGTAACGTTTGAGTGAGGATTGAGTGTGGGTGATTGTGTTTAGAGTGCGACTCTCTAGTTAGAATTTTATTAAATTAGAAAAGGGGAAATTTAGTTTAAGAAAAAGGAGATTTACATTTTTATTTAGATAGAATGAAGTTTGAAACATAATTATTTGATTCTGAAAATTATAGGTGCTGGTTGAGCTTTCACTAGTCAAACAAATAATATCATAAGCCACATAACACTAAATTCTTATGGTAGAATGCTTCATAATATACAAAAGGAGATTTACATTTTTATTCAGAGGATAGAATAAAGTTTAATGGATAATTATTTGATTTTGGATTATATACTTAGTGATTGAGCTTTAACTAGTCTTATAATAACTTAATAAACAAATTATATCATAAACTACATAAAACAAAATTCTTGGGGTGGCATGCTTCTTAATTTCAAACAAAAAGCTATCCTAAGAGTTTTCATGCTTTAATAAAAAACATTAAATTGGTAAGGACGTGAAGAAGACGTGAAGAGGTTCGTGTTTAAAAAAAAAAAAAAACAGTATATATATATTTTTTGAGCGAAAACCAAATCAGGAAAACAATATAATTACAGGATCAGGTTTCTTATTATTAGTATTGCATTCATGAGAAATGAAAGTGAACTTTTCCAAATTGTTCTTTGTTCAGTTATTTATTTCTTGTTATTTGTGTTCATTTGTATTTATTTGTGCTCAATTACTCAATTTTGCCATCTTGCTCATTTTTGGTGACTTTTAGTTTTTCTAGCTACTCTTTAATAAAAACAATACGATTTATTATTATTTGTATTAAAACGAATCAATACTTGTTTGGCTGTCCTAAGTGTTCTGTTTATCAACAGTGAAAAAGTCAGCAATATGAGTATGTAATTTATAAAAAAAAAAAAAAAAACAAGTAAACATGTCCAGTGACACGAGCAGTATTTACAACACTTTTAAGTAGCTCTTTATTATAAATAGTATTTTAATTGGCCCACCCCTTATCTTAAAAACTAACTAAATTAGTAAAATAAACTCTATATACATTAAAATTCCAACTTTAATTTACACATAAAGCCAAAAACATACATTTTCGACTGCTCATAAAACGCCAAAACAATAACCACACGAAAACAAACAATGTTAAAAGCATACAAAGAAGAAACCACCAACAAAAAGAACATTAAAAACCAATTTTTCATTTATTGTTGTCTGAAAAGGAAAGGGAAAAGTTTTGAGAAATTCATTTATTTCTAGAGGCAATAAATACGACTACGTAGTAACATCTAGCAAGTACATCATGATCTATATTAATATTTTAATATCAACAATGTGTGTTCAGAAGGGGGTAGGTAGTACGTACAATCAGTTTAATAAATAAGTTACGAGGGTAAGGTACAAACACTAATGGGGAAATACTTATTGAACAGGATTATTTGGGACTTTGGGTTCTTTACAAAATTTACAGAAGGTTAAAAGCAAATTTATTCATTTAAAATCGATTAAAGCAGGCTGAAGAGCGGTGAGGAGACTTAGGACTACCTTAATTGGCTTCGTTGGGTGAGATTCTGATTTGGATTCTGCATAGAGGATATTGTGTTTCCATTATCGTTTAGCGTCAGCTCGCTATACGCAAGATATGTAATCAGGATCCGATCCAGAATTGGTGTGGCGGTAGCAGTAGTTGACGGTGAAGGATCCCCAAACAAAGAGAGAAAATCAGTTTTTTTTCACCAGCAGCAAAGTTTTTGGGACGTGGCGCATTTTCGAAGGAGTTAGAATCAAAAATGGATTTTAGATTGGGAATCTATTAGTTATTTTGTAGGTCATGGCACGCGTTCTCTAATCGATAGACATTTTGGCAAATCAATTAGGTTCTTTTTCGTTTTTCCTCGGTTTATGTTGCATTGAAATTTTGCATATTATGCGCAATTCTTCAGAAATCAATTTGGAATAAATTCGTACGGATTCGATTCGGAAATTATTTTCAATTTGTTTGTATCAATCAATGCCAAAGAAAATCCATTTCCACATAAATAGAATATACAATTTGGTTGTCGCGTCGTGCACGTGTGTGGGTGTTTTCAATTTTAAATAGTTGTTTTTTTTTTTGTGGTTTTTCGTTTTGTACATTTCAATTAGCCACAAATGAACGGAAAACATCAATCAATCCAGTAGGGTTGTATAAGACACCGAGTATAAGAGTGGTGGGTGGTGTATAACAGTGTACAGATACAGAAAGAGAGAGAGGAGGAGACAGTGGTAAAACACACAGACACACATATGGAATACAGGGTTGCCAAGTACATATAATAAAAGAAAAATGTAATGATAGAAAATAATTTGAGTATTAGCCACGCTGCAATTTTTTTAAAACAATTTTAGTGGGTTTTAGGAGGTGATGATAAATGAGCCACGTCCAAAGTGCCTTGTGAAGCCCAAATACCAACCAATACAAAGAATACCTTGCGAAATCATTAAGAATAAGCTTAAAGTGTTCTTAAAACGATATATGATCTTAAAACTAATTTATTGTTTGGAAACTCCTTAAGTTGGGCCTAGTCCTTTCGGCCAATCGCAGTCAAGTCCAAATACCAATTAACAATAAATTGAAAGACTTTTCTTGAGTAGTACTTAGTGGTAAATGCAACTTTATTTAACATGCTAAGCGCCAGAAGCCTTATGAGTATAGATAATACCCGTTGCCCGATAGAGCAATCAGTGGTGACTTACCAGGAGCACGCTTAATACCTATAGGAGCCCATCGTTGATGGGTAAATGCTTTATATGTATGTACAAACGTATGTGGTTCCCCTAGAGTCGTGCCTTACAAATTCTAAGGGTTGCGGAGAGCCCTACTAGGTACTTGTTAGTGGTGTTAAGCGTGATTTAGTGTTAATATCACAAGAGGGGGGTGTGTGTGTGTAGGGGGGGGGAGTCTGGCCTGAATGAGTCACCGAGTTGGATGATTCAGTTGGGCACTTTCTCCGAGACGGTATCGAGACCTTTCACCGTGTTAGTAGCTGACTCGCCTACAACTAAGGTTACATCACTGTGAAGAATCGAGAGAAGAGAGCATAGCAAGATACGGTTTGGGTGTTTAGTTTCGGTTCAGAGATCGTAACCAGATGTGGATTAGTCGGCATAGAGGTTGATAGCTTACAGATGGGTGGAGGAGTAGGAGAAATTAAAAGAGTAACAGCCGAATCGGTTGAGAAAAACAGTGCAGGTAAGAACGGAATCACAAGCTAAAGGTTGGAGGTTAGAGTAGATAGGTAGCTGCTAAGCCACCAAGGAAGGAGATACAGATCGAGAGAGTGTTTGTGCATTGGTGTTTAAGTGTGGTGGGTGGCAATGTGGTGGGGTTGCATGAATCCATTCGGTTGACATACCTGGCATACGTCGAGTTGGCGTTCTTTATCGAAAAGCTGTTCTGGCTTGGCAACACGAAGCGCTGCACCCACTGTAAATAGAGAATACCTTGAGTACCAGTTGACGGAGTCCCCAAAGCCCCAGAGTGCCCAAGAACCCTATGCGGTTTCAGTCACGTAAAATGATAAAGTCAGCCCATTGATGGCGGTATCAGCGATGCTTTGAAAAATGTCAAAGAGTGCGGACTAATTTGTGATTTACTAAGCCCGCCTGATAAGTGTCCCGGCCACAACTCACCCGACTGTTCATCAGACGCTGATTGCCCA